GTGATCTCCTCATGTACACCTCATCTGTGATCTCCTCATGTACACCTCATCTGTGATCTCCTCATGTACACCTCATTTGTGATCTCCTCATGTACACCTCATTTGTGATCTCCTCATGTACACCTCATTTGTGATCTCCTCATGTACACCTCATTTATGATCTCCTCATGTATACCTCATTTATGATCTCCTCATGTATACCTCATTTATGATCAACTTTCTTAACAATCGGCTCATCAACACTTTTTCATGCTGCCAATAGCAAGGGTGGCAACAGGTACTATTTATTCACTGAGCATCAACTATGTACCAGCCACCATACCAAACACTGCCATCTGACCTCATAACCACCAAGGCCATCTCCACAAAGACAAGGTCCCAGGCCTGGACCAGTGAAGAACGTGCCCAGGGATACATAGCTCCTAGTGCCCGTTAAGCCATACCATGCCAGCTAACTGCAAACCCCAAACAGCACTTTGCCTTTTGCAATGGGGGCACTCCACCTTCTCCAAAGTGAGCATGTTCACAGCTGCCTAATCCACGGAAGGAAAAGCCGAGCCTCTGCTGCCAGCTCCAACTTCCAGCTCAGACCCCTTGGAGAACGAGGCTTCAAACTCTCCTTTCAGGATACAAATACTTATGGACCAAGCGGCCCTCAGGGATCCCCAAGATAACAAAACTGATGGGCAACTGGCTCGGGACAGTCCCCTCTCAATCGTCACATGTCCAACTCTCCCCCTTCCCAAACTCATCAGATCAGTCCAAACCACCATGTACAAGATGGTATTTTTTCCACTCTCAGAACCCAGGACAGGGCATGTGGGAGAGCAGTGCCCGAGGCCAGCAGTCCAATAATGTGTTTCCAAATGCTCAGCCAGCCACCTGTAATTCCATCACGCTGTGGATCAAGTGACTCTCACCTGCACTCAGACTTCCTCAAGAAATGCAATCGCCTCCCTTTGACCTTGAATGCTCAGGAACCCTTTACCGTGTGTTTTCGCCTTTCAATTTTGTAAATTGCTTACTGCCACAGAACCCTTTCAAAGCTTGTCAGAGCAACACTGACTGCAGGAATCATCACAGTAGGGTTCCGCTTCCACCGCCAGAATTAATGTGGTCTATTTAAAGTGCAGCTCACCTGCCATTTAAAGCAGGCTGTGTGTCCATAATTTAATTTGGGAATATGTACTGATCTGCTTTGAAATGTGGGATACATTCCAAAAGTGTGCAAGGGCTTCTGGCTCTCAGAACACCTGAAAGCCAAATGCCAACAAGAACGAGAGCCAGGACATAAGGGGACAGCATGGCGAGCTTCCTGGGGTACTTGTTAATAGACAATGACGGGCAGCACAGTCTGCCAGCTCCCAGCAGGCCTCAGCTTTCCTTGTCAATCCTTAGAGACGACAAGGAAGATAAAAGCCAGGGCTCAGATTCTAACTGAGGCATTGTGTGACTTGGGTGGGTGCCTTACCTTGTCCTTTATTTTCCTCATCTGTACAATGGCCATCATAGTATCTACCTCTAAGGGCTGTTATACAGAGAAAATGAGATCCAATAAATGCTGTTAGCCATAACTAACAGCCTGGTAATATAATTGATGTTCAGTGAAAAACAGCTCTTCATATCATTACCACCCTGGCAACAAAGCCCAGGCATGAAGACAAGTCAGCAGCACCCCTCCCCCTTGCTTCTGCTTACAGCACCCCTCTCTCCCAAGAGGAGCATGTGCCTTTCAGACTTTGTGGAGCTGTCTTCACTTCTACCCCTTGCTCTCTCCCCACCCCCACCCCCAGGTAGCAGCTAACCCAGGCTGGCAATTACCAGGCCACAGCAGAGCACACAACCCATCTTCATCCTGACCCTATTTGATGGTTTGTTCATTGTGGCTTTTTCCACATCAACTTTAATTTTTGAAAGTAATACATGAAAATCTTATGTTGAATGATGAGTTTTTTGATACTACTTTTTTGTGACCCAAGACCAGGTCTCACTAGTCTCACACGAGTCCGGGTCTGGACCACAGGATCCTCCACACAACGTCTACCTGGTCATCTTTCTAAGACAGAAGTCAGCAAACTGTAGTCTGGGGCCAAATTCAGCCACCACACATCTGTGTGTGGAGTTCTGCATCACAGCCACTCCCATTTGCTCACGTGTCGTCTGTGGCTGCCTTCCGGCTACAACAGCAGGAGCGTGTAGCTGCGCTTGAAACCGCCTGGCCCAGAGTCTACAAGGTGGCTACCTCAGCCTGAAAGAGAACTCTGCTGACCCTCGTTCTAGAAGCAGAAGCCTTAATGGTCCCGCAAACCTGGACCCACATGGGGCCGTTTCTCTCTTTATCATGTAGAGAGGCCCCAGTTGGAAAGACCCCCTACCCACACAGAGGCTGGGCCGAGCAAGACAGATTCTGGGGAGACCTGGGGCCCCAGAATCCAGCTCCACTCACTCCTGGGTTTCCAAGTTACTACAGTCAAAAAGTACCTTTGGTGGAAAGGGTTTCTGTGGCTTGCAACCAGATGACGCTCAGGGCAGTGAGTCAGGGTCTGTTCTTTGACCATAAATGGATCATCTGTTGAGGATGGAGGACACCGAGTAACTCCTGTCCTCCAGAGCCTGGGTGGGTGCATGTCACCAGCGTGAAGCATCCTCATCCAACAAAACGCCACTCAATGAGAAATAGCCCAGCCACAGCACCCAGACTCCTTGTAAATCAAGGACACCTTTTTCTCATAACTAGACCAGAAGTAGGGAGCAGGCTCTTAGGCTCCATCAGGCCAAAATCTTCACTCTTGACCCGTAGCTCACCATCACAGAGGACTATCACAACTCTGAGTATCTCAGAGGGGACAGGAGAAAGCCAGCTCTACTACCCCTTTTATGAAGCAAGGATGAGTAAGCCCAGAAAGCCACAGGGAGCAGAGTGGAAGAGAGAACTCCAAGACCAGCGTAATCACCCACCACTCATGACCTGATGAAGGACAAGCCACGGCCCCAGCAAAGCCAGCGTTGCTTAAGCCACAGCAGAGCAGGACGGATACGAGGTAAGAAACCAACAGGACCGGCCAAACAGGCATCCACCATTCCAGGGACAAAAGGCAAACCAAGGCTGGGGGCAGCTTGGT